TTATTTAGATGGTATTACATTATTTTTTGTAGCTCATGATAAATGCCATAATATATTTATTATAGCTCATTATTTGTATTGTAATATATTGTGTCAATGTTTTGTTACCAATTAAGTTTGACCCGTTAAGCTATATATATTTATATAAATTTAATTTGCCCAACAATATATATTTAAATGTTTTATTATTTCATAAGAAAAAACATAACAAGTCTTACAAATTTATAATCCAAATCAAATGTTAAATAAAAAAAATCTGCTAATCATGCACAACAAGTGCTAATCATAAGGATTTATGAGATAAGAGGACAACAAAAAAAAACTTCTGCTACTCTTAGAAGGTCTTCTGAAATCTCAATTTGGTCAAGAACCTGAAAGAGATTCAAGAAGTCTTTCGGCTTGTCCATGGCATCAGTCGCATCTGCACTTAAAGATCCATAACCTTTGCAAATTCAAGAAGAGCTAAGAAACGAAACAAGAAGAACACAAGTGTCAAGGGTTGTATGTGGTTTATACCTGAGAGACAAGACAATTGAGATACTCCAACCCTGTCAAAAGACATCTAAACTTAATGGTTAACGTGATAACATAATCAAGATAAAAGCATGCACATATAAGTTTATAAAGCTATCTCATGCCTTTGTCATCAATGAATATGGATCCTCTGCTGAACAGAGATGAGCAAGAGCAACTCGTCTTTGGATAGGCCTCTCTGAAATCTGCATTAGGTACATCAGATGCCTTATAACCTACAAAAGATAATCAAAACACATAAATCTCAAAGGTTGGATAGATAGACTATAAACTTCAACAGATCTTAAAACCTAGATTGTCGTTTATCACTACAAACCATGAATTGTGTATATTATGGTCACCAAAAATGAAATAAATAAGTTTAAAGACAAGCATAATTTCATGTACTCGTCCATGAATCTTCTCCTCTAATCTCTTTAATGTTTTGGAGACACAATCTTTAATTGCCTACCAAAAAAGTGTATATTATATACACCCAATACAACTAATGCTGCTAAAAATTCAGAGCCGCTATAGGGAGCATGTCAATGTGAGTCTAGAGAGCATAGGAAGGGTAACAACACCATACATATTTGGACAATAAACTCTCCTTCGCGTAGCTTCCTATCACCCTCATAAGCAGACCAATAAGGTTGTTTTCCACTCTGTGAACCAAAGTTCTCTGGTTAGGTTAGTCACTGAAAGGCAAGCAATACAGCTAGAGAAAGCAAAGAGTTGTTCAATTTTTACCTCACTGTTCAAAAGGCTGAGAACAACACTAAGGACTTTTTCCAGAGATATTCCCATCTTGAACCTGGAATCATAAAAGGCCTAAACATTTAGCTCATTCTTTCGAATAGAACTCATTCCTGCAACATAAAGGAAAGTTAAACACAATCCATGAAGAAGAATAGGAAGACCACAAGACATCATAAGATAAACCACAAGAACAAGGAGACTTCTACACAATAATAAGGAGAGTAACAGAGAAACCATTGTTATGGGACAAAGAGACAAAATTAGTCTTGCCACATAACTTAAACAGAGAAACCATTTCTAGACAAGTCAATATCGGAACACATTGCTACGGATCTAGCTCTGGTAGAGAAAAGAGTGTTTCTACTGGATTTTAAGAACAAAACCTGTGACGGAAATAGGTCAGGCTTGGCAATTGAAGTAAGAGAAGCCATTTATGGATCGAAGCTTCTTCCATATTTCCTGGAAAATGAGAGAATTAATGGAAAGAGAGAAAGATAGACAAATGCGTGTTTCCTTCTCGATCTATCCACTACATCCCAAACACAGAAATCACAATTACAGAATACCTTAATCGACCAAACCAATCAGTAAGAATATAGTAGAAACCTATCGATGAAGAGTTCAAATCCTTTCGGCGTTGCCATAACTCACTTGCTGATACAGCAATCACCCTTTCCAATCTAAGACCTTCGCCTGTAGAATCGAAGCAACACCAAGAGAAGGAGAAGAGTTGCGTCGAAGATCAGGAGGCGTGGAGGAAGGAATCTGGGATTTCAGAGAAGAAAATCTGAGATTGAAGAAGACGAGATGAAGGTTGAGTTCAATGGTCATAAAGCTTGGAGAAATCATAACAAAAGTTTGAGGAAGTCGACAGGGAGAGGAGGAGTCTCGAAGTCTGGAAGAGATTGGATTTAGGTTAAAGAAAGGTCTCGAGAGAGAGAATCTGGGTCTGGGTTTTGTTTTTTTATAAAATAAAAATAATAATTAGCATTTTTTATAATATGATCTCAGATTTAGGCGGAAAATGAAAAAAATTGACTAAGTATACCGCTCTTTATGATTTTAGGTTCCAAGATCTAAATTTTAGTTTCCCACTGAGTCATTTTTATGTTTAGCATTCTTCTAATGCTATCATATATAAACCAATCTATCTAACCATTTTTAATAGCATTTACGAAAATTAACCATTTTTAAAAGCATTTTTCTGA